GGGAACCAGCAGTTAGCGTAATGGCTATGTCGCTGGACTCCCACGTAGTCGACCGCGGTTCACGTCCTGGACCCGGTGGCTTAAAACTCACGCTGGGCGCGTGTGCGTGCGTGCCCAAGATCCTGAGAGGAGAATGGAGAAGGGATTGCGGCGTGACCATCCCCCCTGGGGGGTGATTTCTCACTTTCTGTCTCTCTGTCTCTGTCTGTCTGGCGAGCACACGCGCCCTATAGCGAAAAACCCTCAAAAAAAAAAAAAATCAAAGAGTATGATACACTATATATACAGGGAAATCAATAGCCTTAAATGTTCACATTAGGAAAGACAGTTGAAAATTAATGAGCTGAAAACTCATTAAAAAGTTTAAAAACATAAAGGAAAGGAAGAAAAAGTGACTAAAAATTAACAAACTAGAGAGAGGAATATTACGCCTTAAACTGGTTCTTTACAAGATAATAAAATTGATTTTTAAAAAAATAGGCACACCAGGGCCAGCAGGTGGCTCAGTAGTTAAGGTCCTGGCCTCTCACATGACTCACTGGTTCAAGTCCCAGATTTGCTTGGTGACTTTAGGATCATGCCAGGTGTGTGTACATGTCTGTGCACATGCCCAAAATCCCAAAGGAGAATGGAGAAGGGATTGCGGCATGGCCATTCCCTTTGGGGGTGATTTCTCACTTTCCCTCTCACTGTTTCTCTCTTGTGAGCACAAGCTCCCTATGGAAAAAAACTTAAAAAAAAAAAAAAAAAGAAAAGAAAAAACACAAATATCTACTATGAAAAATGAGAAATGAGACAACACTACAAATACTACAGACTAAATAGTTAAGAATAATTTTATGAATAATTTTATGCAACTAAATGTAAAAAATTAGATGAAGTGGACACATTTCTAAAACTTAATTTCTCAAAACAGATTCAATAAAAATAGAAAATCTTAATAATCTTCTAACCACTAAAGATATTAACTCAGCAGTCATATGTCTTCCCATAAAGAAAACTGTATATCCAGGAGTTTTCATGAGTGAGTGAATTTTCAGTAATTCGAGAAAAAAAATCATTCCAATTCTATATAAACTCTTTCAGAAAAAGAGAAAAAGGGAATAATCCCAATTTTTGGGGAGAGGAGTTTCGTTTTGTTTCTTTTTTTTTCCTTCTTTTTTTGCTATAGGGCGTGTGTGCTCACCAGGAAGACAGAAAAAGACAGAGACAGAAAGCGAGAAGTGACACCCCCAGGGGGGATGGTCACTCTGCAATCCCTTCTCCTCCATTCTCCTCTCAGAATCTTGGGCACACACACACACGTGCCCAGAGTGAGTTTAAGCCTCAGGGTCTGGGACTCAAACTGTGGTTGATCGACTACATGGGAGTCTAGCAACGTAGCAATTATGCCATCTGCTGGTCCCATTTTTTTCCCCTGAGGTTAGGATAACTTTCATACCAAAATCTAATAAGGAGAGTATAAGAAAATAAAATATGAACCAATTTCGCTCTTGTGTCAAAAGAAAAAAATGCACACATACACAACATTTATATGTAATATGCACATATACATCCCCATATTTATACAGAATGCTTTGTACCTTCCATATATATTGAATTATATAACGTAAACATATGGAGAATAGAATATACACAATATTTTAACCTACAAGATCAAGGCTAGATTAACATTAGAAAAATTAATATAACCACTAAATTAAAAGATTAAAGGAGAAAAATGATAGAACTATCAATATATGCAGGAAAAGTTTTTTATAAAATTCAATTACTACTGGGCCAGGAGGTGAGGTAGTAGTTACGGCACCGAACTCTCCCATGGCTGACTGTAGTTCAAGTGCTGGACAGGTAGCTTGAAAATAACACTGGAGGGAACCAGCAGTTAGCGTAATGGCTATGTCGCTGGACTCCCATGTAGTCGACTGCGGTTCGTGTCCCGGAACCGGTGGCTTAAAACTCACGCCTGGCACGTGTGCGTGCGTGCCCAAGATCCCAAGAGGAGAATGGAGGAGAAGGGATTGCGGCGTGACCATCCCCCCTAGGGGGTGATTTCTCACTTTCTGTCTCTATGTCTTTCTCTGTCTGTCTGGTGAGCGCACGCGCCCTATAGCGAAAACCTCTCCAAAAAAAAAAAATAAATAACACTGGAAGTGTGTGTGTGCCCAAAACCTTGAGAGGAGAATGGAGAGAGAAAGGATTATGGTGTGGCCATCCCCTCTGGGGAGTGATTTCTCACTTTCTCTGTCTCTTTCAGTGAACACATACACCCAATGGTAAAAACAAAAATAAAAATTCAATCACTACTGATAATTTTTTTAAAATAATTATTTTATCCAACTTTATTTACTTATTTACTTATTTTTTAATTTGACCAGTGAGGGACAGCGCGAGAAAGAGAGAGAGAGAAAGTGAGAGAGCAAGCCACCAACCAGGTCCAGGACTCGAACTGTGGTTGGCCATGTGGAAGTCCAGCATCCTTAGCCATTAGGCCACCTGTCGCCCCCACTACGATAATTTTAAAAAAATGAAATAAAATGCAAAAATATCCAACTTGTAAGCTAACTTAGAATAGACAAGAGAATTCTTAAATCTCATATCCCTTTTCCTCCTGATAAAAGTTATCAACAAAAAGTCTATAGCAAACATAATACTTAATAGTAAAGATGGAAAACTTTCCTTCTAAGACTGGGAACAAAATCAAGGTGTTCATCTTTAACATTCCTATTCACCATTACCTTGGAGGCCTTAGTCAACCCAGCAAAGCAAGAAAAATAAGTAAAAGATATAATTAGAAAAGAAGAAACAGGCTGGTATGTGGTATGGTGGTTAGGGCACTAGACTCCCACATGGCCAACCACAGTTCGAATCCTGGGCCTTGTAGCTTGTTTTCTCACTTCTCCTGTCTCTCTCTCTCTTTCTCTGTTTCTCTCTAGTCAAGTTGGGAAATAATGATGATAGTAAATAAAAGTAAATAAATAATTCCTAAAAGAAAAAGAAACAAAACTCATTATTCACAGAGGATGTATGCAACAACGCATCAGAGAATCCAAAATAATCCTCAGGTAAATTATTAAATTATTTTTTAAATTTTGCCAGTGTGTGCATGCACTCGACAGAGAGAGAGGAATAGAGACAGAGGGAGGAGAAAGAACCTCATGGTGGGGCATGGACATATCGCAATCCCTTTTCCTCCATTTCTCTATCTTTTCGGGATTTGGAGCATTTATACAAATGTGGCAGGTAAGCTTTTTAAACCACTGGGTCCAAGACTGAACTACACAGTCAGCCATGTGAGATCTGGCTTCACTAATCACTAGGCCATAGGACCAGCAAAATAATTTTTAACACAATTTCTAGGTACAAAATCAGTATAAAAATTAACTGCTTCTATAATTCTAATATTATTGGGCCATCAGAAAAGTCAGGATTTTTTTTGTTTTTTGGGTTTTTTTGGAGAGGTTTTTGCTATATGGCATGTGCACTTGTCAGAAAGACTGAGAGAAACAGAGACAGAAAGCGAGAAATCACCCCCTAGGTGGGATGGTCACACCGCAATCCCTTCTCCTCCATTCTCCTCTTGGGATCTTGGGCACGCACGCACACGTGCCTGGCTTGAGTTAAAGCCACTGGGTCCAGGACTCAAACTGTGGTCGACTACATGGGAGTCCAGTGATATAGCCATTACGTCAACTGCTGGTCCCAAGGATGTATTTTTTCTGTGTTTTTCTATGCAAAAATGCATCCTGGTTTTTCTGACAACCCAACATGTGAGTTGTTAGATCAAATCATATGCATGTAATTATATAGGTATGTATATAATAATGCTGTACTATAGACTGGGTCATTGGGAAAGTCATGATGCATTTTTGCACAGAAATATACATCATGATTTTCCTGACAAAATATCATTTGTAATGGCACTAAAAAATATGAAGTACACAGGAATAAATCTAGAAACCAATTAATGTGCAAGCTTTTTACCAAAAAAAAAAAGAGAAAAAAAAAAAAAAAGACAGTTAAGAAAATCTAAATAAATAAATGGCCCAGTTACAGTAATACGCGCTACTGCTCAGCAGGCTGAGGTCACATGATAAGCTCCCAGCACATCCTAAAAGCCTGGTGCATGGCACATGCATGTAATCCTGGCTACTGGAGAACCTGAGGCAAGAGGATCCCGAGCTTATGGCCAGCATGGGCAACACAGCAAGACCTTGTCTCATAAAGAAAAGGCACGTGCCTATGGTCTCAGCTACTTGGGAAGCTGAGGCAGAAGGATCACGACATAGCAAGACCCTGACCTAAATAATAATAATAACATTCTAAAATAGAGATCTCTATAATCACTTTTTAAAAACTCATTATTTAACAACATAAAATTTTACTGAAATTGATCACTAGATTCAATATGCTTTAAATCAAAATCCCATTTTTATTTGCTTGCTTTTTGGGGGAGGGAGGGTCAACTTACAACTAACTCAAACATTTATATGGAAGTGAAAGGGCAAAGATAAGCCACGTCATGTGGGAAGTGGGAAGGCCTACAAGCTATCACGGTTTAGAGGCCAGCAGGTGGTTTGGTGGTTAAGGCACTGGACTCCCACAGGACCAACGGCGGTCTGAGTCTCAGACCCAGCACTGTGCTTTCTCACTTTCCCTTTATCTATCTCTGGTCAAATTTAAAAAATAATAATAAATAAAAATAAGTAAATAATTACTTTTTTTTTAAAGATAGCAAGGCTTATTATAATGCTAGTAAGATGGTGTGCTTGGGGAGAGACCAACCACCAGCCCACTGGAACAGAAGAGTGCCTATCTAGCAGAGGACCTACACGCACGTCAACACAGGATCCAGGACAGAAGTGTTGTCTACCAAGGACAGAAAAGGGAAAGTCTGTTCCAAATATGGTGCTGCAGGGACCAGCAGATGGCATAATGGTTCTGTGAGTGGACTCCCACATAGTCAACTGCAGTTTGAGTCCTGGACCCAGTGGCTTAAATCTCATGCCAGATGTGTGTGCGTGCATGCCCAAGATCCTGAGAGGAGAATGAACAAGAAGAGAATGCAACGTGGCCATCCCCTTGGGGGGGGTGATTTCTCACTTTTTGTCTCTCTGTCTTTCTCTGTCTCTCTGGTGAGCTCACGTGCCCTAAGCAAAAATCTCTCTTAAAAAAAAAAAAAAGGTAAGAAAGAAAATGTGGTGCTGGGACAAGTGGATATTTATAAGAAAATGAATGGAAACTTATCTCCTTCCTTCTGCCAATCCATGCAAAAAGAACTAATTACAAATGAGTTAAAAGTCTATAGGAAAAACACAAACCTATAAAAGCTTTTAGAGGATAGTATCTATAAGGCCTTGGGATAATAAAAATAAACTTCTTAAAGGCAGAAAAAAAGCTATCAAAGTTGAAAAAAACTACTTTAAAATTAAGCATTTTTGTTCTTCAATAAACACCACAAAGAATAAAAAGAAAAGTCAAGACTTGAAGATATGTATCTGTCACACATTGTACTGAAAGGACTAGAATCTAGAATATGTAAAGAACTCCTATAAATCAGTATAAAAACAAACTAAAATAAAATAGAGACATAAATAGGCATTTCAGTAAAGAAGAAATTCGAACGGCCAATACACATTTTTTATTTGCTTAATTACATCAACAATCAGGGATATGCACATTAAAAGCTCAAGGAAGGGCTGGCTCTGCAGCTTAGTGGTTACGGGAATCAGATTCCACAGACTACCACAGTTTGAATCCTAGCCCTGGTGGGTCAAAAAACACACCAGGTACATATGCATGCATGCCCCAAATCCAGACAAGATGGAGAAATGGAGGACAACATGACCATGCCCCGAAAGGGCAGCGCTTTCTCCCATCCCCCTCTTTCTGTCAAGCATATGTACCCTCTGGAAATTAAAATGAACTACATAAAAGTACAAAGAATATTTTTTAATACTCATTAGATTTCAAAAATTAAAACCTTAGAAGGCCCAGAGATGGTGGCGTACATAACACCACCACTCGGAAGGGTGGAAACTACATGGGAGGCCTGACTTTGGTTCCTCAGCCAACCTGGATGCACTGGATACAGTTGCACATGGCTGTGGTCCTGGTTAATCCTGAGGCTGGGGCAGGAGAATCACAACAAAGAGAGACCCTGTCAACAATGCCTATCTGTCTCTGTCTCTATCTTTGCTTCTCCCTCTTACTCTTCCATAAAGGGGGAAAAACTTAAAACATTGGTAATTCCAGTGTTAGCTAGAGAGTAGAGCACTGGGAACTCTCATATCCTACCATAGGTATGGGAAACGGGAACAATTTGGTAACAACCACTAAATCCAATTTGTGACCTAGCAATTGGGTCTCTTCTCGTAACTCTTGCACTGAGTGACCCAGACGAGAACTTCTTAGCAACATCTTCCAAATCTGTTAAAACTAAAAACCACCTCAAAATATCTAGCTGTATGTAGAGAAGGTATATAAGTCATGGCACATTCATAAAACAATGAAAAGAACTCTAGTTACATACAAAACATGGATGAATATCACAAACAATGCTTAGTAAAAGACAGGTCGCAAGAAAATCAGTGTAAGTCTATTCATACAAAATTTAGAGAGTCCTACCCTGCTAGAAAAGTGACTCTCTTTTTGTCAAGTGGCTTTCAGTGAATTTGTAAGCATAATGCATCACATCAAAAAACAAAATGCACAAATTATTAATTACCTTTCAGAGTTTCCAGCAAGTTTTTGGCTACAAACCAACATATGGCTTCGAAGAAAGGGAATTTGAAAAGATCTGGTGTTTTTAGTCTTTTTTCCATCTCATAACACCTAAATGAATAAAATTTGAAGAGATATTCAATATTAACATTTAGCACTTCAACGCTAAAGAAGGTAGTAACCAACTTGAAAATAAAATAAGCAAGTCATGATACGTAATACCAATAAAGCATTATATTGAACAAACTGAATTGTGATCTTATCAGGTTATGACTTTAACAAATTTAATGGTACTTTAAAATTACACCTCATGGGGACCAGCAGTTGGCATAATGGCAATGTTGTTGGACTCCCATGTAGTCGACTGCAGTTCGAGTTCCAGACTCGGTGGCTTAATCTCATGCCGGGAGTGTGTGCGTGCGTGCCTAAGATCCTGAGAGGAGAATGGAGAAGGGACTGCGACGTGGCCATCCCCCCGGGGGGATGATTTCTTGCTTTCTGTCTCTCTCTGTCTTTCTGGCAAGCACATGTGCCCTATAGCAAAAACCTCTCCCAAAAGAAAAAAAAAAATTACACCTCATGTAAGACTGCACCTTATATCTCAATTTTAATAAAAGGGGTTTTATGAGGGTCCCACTGTAATAAATATAACAGCATGTCTAGGAAATGGCTCCGTGTTTTGGAAATACTGTAGTACCGACCCAGGGAGTTTTCTTTAGGCTCTAATAAGCATTCAAGTTCACGACCACACTTGGCACTAGCCAAGGGGAGAAGACAGGGACCACAGTCCGCCACGGTTTTGGTCATCTGTGGGAGTCCCCATAATGGTCCACATAGCAGGAGCCACCTGACACCCAAGGACAGCTCAGGTACAAAGAGACAAGAGCCAATTTGGTAGGTGCAGAAGCCGCCTTGGCTTAAATCCTCCTGCCCTGCAAGAGCCACTATCTCTTGTACTAACTACACAGATGCATCTAGCTTCCAGGGATCCCATGGACATGCCAAGTTACGAGAGTTCCCATATCCAGGCAAGCCCAAAGATATGGCTTCCTACCAAGTATTTCTAGTTCTCCCAGACCTGATACAGCTGATTAACCAGGAATCATTTTTACCTTAAGCAATGTCATTAGACTACCAGGGGAACAGAGTCATGCAAAGGTCAAATTCCCATACGGGAGGGGAAATAGCTATTAAACCTTTGCTCACAGCAAAATCCAAGCTGGTGTGCCAATGGCAATCCTGACTTAGTGCTGCTTTTTACAAGCACCATTTGTCACTCTCAAGTCTGACTGGATTTCATTTCCCTTACTGCAAAAAGAACCAAAAGACAGCACATACATTTTTATAAAATTTTGAAATTTGGGGAGATATGATCAAACTGAATAAGTTAATATTTCTCTTCTAGATTTAAAATACATCAAATTATCCTTGTGACAAAATTTTTAAACAACACTTTTGTGAAAGTTCTTATTCCTAATCATTTCTCAAGGTCTATCATGGCATTGCAAATAAAACATTGTACTATTTAAAAAAAAAAAACACCTTTATAAGAAAAAGAGTATATTAAATACTCATAACACGAACCTGAGCTGCATGCCGATATTAAGGTTGTGCAGAAAGTTTCCCCCAAAAGCCATACAGTCCTGAGAAGTGAGCACAGCATGAACCCACCCTGAAAGGGTTAAAAGTATATAAATAAGTTATTCTTTTCTGTATTTAAACCAAACAAATGTGACATCTACTTGGAAAATAAGTAACTCAAAATATCGACATCAGTTTGCTTCCTATTCCAGTGCTAGAGAAGCTGAGGCCTGCTTCGGTCCACACACCCGTTTAACTACACAGCACGTGAAGGCCGACTCTACGCCATGCGGAGCTTGCTGAATTTGAGGAATAAGGGGAAGGTTGTTTGTGGTTTCCTATTTTTGTCTGTTAGTTTAAAAACACAATCCATCTTCATATTTCTGAGACAAATCCAGTCCGGTTTGAGTTAGGTAGGAACACACGTTTTCCAGTAATGAGTACTTGGACTGGCAGAGCACACTGTTCCCTGGTGCCAGCCTGCAGTGAGTGCCCTGAAGGCACCACTGGGGGAGGGCCAGGGGACCCGACCCGACGGTAAGAAGGAAAAGCAGATTAGCCACACTTAATTATGGAGGGTTATGGTCCTATAAAAAAGAAACGGTGGCTATCGAAATGATGTATTTTCCCATAAAAATGCTTTCAAAGCAAGGATCATTTCTAAGGGCTAATCCCTACCTCCTGAGAAATGTCGACAAACTTAACATAAAAGACATAATAGAAATATATACATGTTTTAGCACATAAAGCAGTAGTTTATTAATATTTTTTCATTGCCAGAGTGTGCTTGACTTGCTCCAGAGAGACAGAGAGAGAGGGAGAAAGCACCCCAGTGGGGCAGAGTCATGCTGCATTCCCTTTTCCTCCATCTCTCCATGCTGTTAGGATGCTGGATGCGCACACACAGTCAGTGTATCTTCCAAACTGCTAGCACTGGGATTCAAATTGTGATTGCCCATGTGGAATCCAGCTCCCTTGACCAATAAACTATGGGGCTGGCTTTTAAAATCTGCAAATGCTATTATCTTTATATTCCTCATCTTCTAATTCCTCATTGTACTGTAACACTATATCAGAGGCTCCTTGAAGGACTGTTCAGGTGTTCATGTGTGTGCTCGAAGCCTGAGTTTGACCGTGAAACCGCCAATTGGAAGTCTCTCTCTATGAGCTACAAATCCTATATATATCATACGCCAGTGGTTCTCAACAGTGGTAGTGCTCACAGAGATATAGGTGTTCTAGAAAGCTGGAAGACTCTTGTGATTGTCACAATGAACAGGGAGCCATGAACAACTACCAAATTATAAAATTACTGGCAATTTGTCAGTGGAGCCAGGAGTAGGACACACAGGACAGTTAAACACAGTAAGAAATTGTCCTGCCTCACTCAAGGATGTCAAATTCTGCTGGGCATTCATGTAGGTAAAAAGTCTGTCCATTAATCATGGATATCAGAACTCCATTATATATTTAAACAAAGTATTTCTGCATGATTTGGGCACCATTTTCAATAAAACTACTCTGGAAATTGAAAGAAACTGTACTTCAGTTTGGAAATGCATCAGCTGCCAACTCCTTGGGAAAAAATCATATTGCCTACAACAGTAGCGCTCATTCAATGGAAATACACCTCTCTAGACATAAACTCTGGTAGCTCCAGGTTCACTTATTTCACACGTATTTATTATTATATGTATTACTTATCTGACATGTATTTCTTATTATATATACCTCAGGGTCTGTGGTTAACAGGTCCCTATGATCTCTGCAGTAATTAAGGTTGCTTGAATCAGAAGAACGCAATTCTCAAAAACACTGGTTTGGAAAGCCAATACTCTTGCATTCATTCACATCTCAAAATGACTCACCTGGTACCTACACCTGAGGCTACGGCTAAGCCTGATCCTGAATTCCTTCTAGAGGTCCTGGAAGACATACACTTGGCCTCTTACTTATCCCAAGTCAGTGGCCTAGATTCCTCAGAGTAGGCTTGGCCTTTGACAGCAATGCAGAACTGACCAGAGTTAAAACCAAAAGGAACTTCACCAAAATTTAAACTATTTGTGAATCAAAGGACATTAACAGAAAAGTGAAAAGAATCTACAGAAGGAGAGAAAATACCTGCCAGTCACATGTCTGATATAGGTTCAGTACATGGAATTTATAAAGAATGCTAGCAAGGGACCAGCAGATGGTGTAATGGTTACGTCACTGGACTCCTACATGGTTGACCTGGTACAAGTCCTGGACCCAGTGGCTTAAAGCTTGTGCTGGGTGCATGTTTGTGCATGCCCAAAATCCTGAGAGGAGAGTCGAGGAGAAGGGATTACAGTGTGGACATTCCCGCTCAGTGGCTATTTCTTGTTTTCTGACTCTCTGTCTCTCCAGCAAGTACATGCTACCTATGGCAAAAATTTCTCTTAAAAAAAAAAAAAAAAAAAGAAAAAGAAAAGCTAAGAAATACAACAATAAAAAAGGCAAATAACCCAATTTAAAAATGGACAAAGAGGGGCCAGCAGGTGGCATGACGGTTAAGGCACTGGACACTCCCACATGGCTGACCACAGTTAAGAGTCCTGGACCTGGTGGCTTGCTTTCTCACTTTCTCTCTCTCTCTCTCTCTCTCTCTCTCTCTCTCTCTCTCTCTGTGTGTGTGTGTGTGTGTGTGTGTGTGTGTGTCTCTCTGGTCAAATTAAAATAAATGAATGAATAAATAAAATTAAATAATTTTTTAAACGGGCAAAGGATCTGAACAGATCTTTCTCCAATGAAGATATACTCATAAATAATAAGCATAAAAATCCACTCAACATCATTACACATTAAGGAAACGCAAATCCAAGCATGATGAAACACCACTTCATACCTGCCAGAATGGCAAAAATAAATGACAATAAATGAAAATGTGGAGAAACTAAAACCTAAATGTGTTGCTGGTAGACATGTAAGACAGTGAAGCCATGTGGAGCACAGTCTGATAGTTTCTCAAAAATTAAATGCAGTTAAAGCATACTTGGTCTATAACCAAGAGAAATGAAAACATACCTCCACATAAGAACTTATACACCAATGTTCACACTATCATAATAACCAAAAAGTGGAAACAACCCAAATGCCTATTAATTAATTAATGGAAAAATAGGATATATCTGGGACCGGCAGTTAGCATAATGGCTATGTTACTGGACTCCCATGTAGTCGACCGCAGTTCGAGTCCCAGGCACGGCGGCTTAAACTCACGCCGGGCATGTGTGCGTGTGTGCCCAAGATCCCAAGAGGAGAATGGAGGAGAAGGGATTGTGGCATGGCCATCCCCACTGGGAGGTGATTTCTCGCTTTCTGTCTCTCCGTCTCTCTCTGTTTGGCGAGTGCATGTGCCCTATAGCAAAAACCTCTCCAAAAAAAATAGGATATATCCTATAAGGGAATATTGAGGGACCATAAAAAAATAAAGTAATGATTTGTGCTACAACATGGATGAACCTAAAAAATATTATGCTAAGTAGAATATGCTAGACACAAAAGGTCACACGATTCCATTTATGTGAAGTGTCCAGGCAGGCAAACCCAGAGACAGAAAGTACTTTAGTGATTGCCAGAAGCTGGGAAGAGGGTGTTGGAGAAGGTAACTATTAACAAGTACGAGCTTTCATTTAAGACGACACAAATATTCTGGAATAGATAGTGGTGATGGTTGTACAACCATTTTAATCTACTAAAAATCAATGAAATTGTACACTTTGAAAGAGTGAATATTATGGTATGTAAGTTTTATCATAATAAAAATGAAAATGAAAGCAAACAGCATAAAACACAAAGCCAAAAAAAGTCCTAAGTACAAGCAAAGTCCACTAAGGGACAAAGTAAAAAGTCCAAGATCAGAATTATCTCTTAGGCACTATCATAAAAGCTATGTTCCAAACACATTAAAGCCAGAGGTTCTAATCAAACTCCACATGACTGAATAGCAGCTATAGGCAGCAGGGACTGGGATTTAACACTTTACCTGTAGGAACAAATAAGGTATGTCCCTGCTTCACCACACATTTGTAGCATTTATCCACCTTGTCTCCAAAGAACACCTCACTCTGGGTCACAGATGAACTCCAAGATTCATAGAGTGCCAAATTTTCATCGGTTGGCTTTATCAGATAAAAAATCTTCTCACCCTAAAAGAAAACAGCCATAGTATTTTTGAAAAAGCTAAAGCCATTCTTAGGATAGCCTACATTTATGCAATTTCCCAATTGAATTATCTAATTTGAATCAGATAACTATCAGAATTGTACAGGTTCAAAAGACCTATATTTCACATACCTCCTCAGTGGCTAATGCCCTTACTAACATTTCCACAGGAGCTAACACTCCCCCTCCCCATCTGACAAGGAGTTGATAAAGTAGTTCTAGAGAAACAGCTGCAGGAAAGGAGCGTAAGGACCCACAAACACCCTGCAGATTCTTCTCAGTTGCAAGTTCCAAAAGTGAATACCCATTAACAGCCCCCAGGTTAGAGTACTCTCCCCAAACTTTGCCTTTTCTAAGATCTATAACATAATGGTTTTGTAAATAATGAGAAATAGAGACCAGCAGATGGTCTAATGGTTACATCACTGAACTCCCACGCAGCCGACCACGATTCAATTCGCGTCCCAGACCCAGTGGTATTCACACCAAGTGTGAATGTAAGTGTGTGTGCATGTGTGTGTGTGTGTGTGCGCGCGCACGTGTGCGCGCGCCCAAGAGCCCAAAAGGAGAATAGAGAAGAGACTGTGATGCAGCCATTCCCCTGGGGAGCGATTTCTCACTTTCACATGCTCTCTCTCTGTCTCTCTGGCAAGCACATGTGCCCTACTGCAAAAATCTCCCAAAAAATAAATAAAAGATAAATAAACTTCCTTTAATTAACTTTTTGTTCCCTCATGAGTAACATGAGCCCAAGGAAACTGTATCAAATACTGAGGCACAGGCATTCGATAGAGATGACGATCCTGTTCCAGAACAGTGTTTTCCAACAAAATGTCGTGACAGTGAAAATTTTTTACATCCCTTCTACCCAACAGTCACTAGTCACAGTGGCTACTGAGCATCTGAAATATGGCTAGTGCAAATGAGGAACTCAGTTCTAATTACATTCCATTTTAATTATTTAATTTTATCCACACATGG